ATTTCGTAAAATCACTTTAAATTATAAATAAGACATTGGATTTGTTTGCTCCCTGACTGTCTCATTTTACCCCGCCAATGGGGTAAAAAAGAACAGATGACATATTTTAGAAAAATAGCAAAAAATACATTTTTATAATAAGGAATTAATTGGAAATTTTACTGCACATAGCACGATAATTTAAGTTTTGTGATTTGTTGTAGTTTAGTTCATTTAGTTTTAGTTTAGAGTATAGTTACTTAAAGTCAAAATGGACCTTTGTTCCCTCGGTAACCTATGCCAATAACGGGTTTTTATAATCAAATTCCATAAATTATTTTTATTAAACTATTATAGTGTAAGTAGAATATCCTAAGAATCGAGGATAAAAAATTAAATTTTGATATATAGCAATGACTAAATACAATTAAGACGTTATAATAATAAACATAATAATAAAATATGATTGAAAAAAGTGTCAAACTAAATTTAATGTATAAATTTCTAAGTGCGTAATATTTTCTTTAGGTTTTTGAATGTTTTGCAAAATATGGCTGAGATGAGTAAGAATATATAGATTTTATGAAACATTTCTAAAATATATTTCGATTTAAAAAAATATATAAATTATTCGATTGAATTAATTATTTTTGTGTGATAATCGAAAAAGATTTTATTCCGAATTGCCAAAAAAAAATTCTGCATTTAAAAATTATTTAAATTCTTTTCAAAATTTGTTCAACGTTATATAAAAAACTATGTTTTATAACTGTAAAAACAGATAAAAAATAGCGAATATTATTATTGATTAAAAATATCATTGGAAATATTAATAGCTTTTAATAATGAGTGCACAATATTTGTTTAAAAAACAGGAATTTTGTATTTTATCAAAGAAATTACTAAATTTGACGTAACAATCACCCAAGATTTTTTTGCAAATTATTTAAATGCTGTTCAGTATTCTCTATATTATGAGAAAATTATTTAAATCCTTTTTAGTCCTTATACTATATTTCAGTATTCTCTATAAACTGAAGTGACTGACTCTATATGAAACTTTTTATTCTATCAGAGAAATTAATAAATTGATTTAATGAATTTTGTGTGACTGACGTCTAAGATTTTGCTTTTCAATATTCTCTATACTATGTGAAAATTATTTATTTACTTTATACTATGTAAAAATTATTTAAATGTTTGTTAGTATTCCTTATACTATGATTCAGTATTCTCTATAAACTAATGTGTAACGTTTTATTTTATCAAAGAAATTAATAAATTGATTTAATGAATTTTGTGTTACAATCGTCCAAGATTTTCTTTGCATTCGAAAATTATTTAAATACTGTACAGTATTCCTTATACTATATTTCAAAATTCTTTATAAACTGATGTGAAACTTTATATTTTATCAAACAAATTAATGAATGGATTTAATGAATTTTGGGTGACAATCGTCTAAAATTTTCTTTGCATCCGAAAATTATTTAAATGCCTTTCAGTATTCTCTATACTATAATCTCTATTTTATAGTCTATATTATTTGTCATACAACTAAAACTAAAACTTTTGCTAAAAATAGTAGATTGATAAAAAATAATTATGTAGTCTTATTGAGTGGATAATAATTGTTTAAAAAAAAATTCAAATCGAGAATATGAATATTGAAGATTTTTTTCTAAACCGTTCTGAGAGTTCTATATCATTCAGGCGCACAAAAGTCATGTTATTAACGGCGATTCAATTTATTATATTACAAATACGAAATATAATCAGAATTGTGACAAAAATATATATATGCATATATATATATATATATATATATATATATATATATATATATATATATATATATAATCAAAACAAGCAAGCATTGCAGCAATCATATCAAGTAAATCAATAAAACAGTAGTTAAATCAAAAGAATTTAATTATTGATAGATATCGATAATGTTTTTTCACCTGTAATATTATGTAAGTCACGTTTTCCCTCAAAGGAATTAAGAACAAATACGGTTGATCAATAAATTAATTTCACTAATGGCATTCTACACGAATTCTTCTAAATGGAATCATGTTATATAACTTCTGATTGAAAAAAGAACATTTCGAAATATATCGAAAAGATTTTGTAATTTTATAAGTGACCTAAAGCAATGTACATGTAAAAAATATTTGTATCAAAAAATTATGGAGATTAAAATTTACTGAGGGTAACAGATGGTACATAGAAATCTAGCAGATTTATTTGAAATTATAAAATTTTGTTAGATTGTTATATTTCGACGATTTTATATATACATATATTGCGTATAAATATTGCATTAAAAATAAAATTAATAATAACTCGGAGTTAGTTGTATGCAAAATTTTCAACTCGTAGTTAGTATACAAAATTTTCAAGTTATATTTTAGAAATGCTGACAAACTAAAATAATTTTTTAATTGTAAGTAAAAATTATATCCGAATTTTATAAAATTTATCTGTTGTAAATGGAATGGTCCGAACTTTAGAGTATGTATTCCAGTATAATTTTTCAATCTAAGTTATTTTATTGAATTTGCTGAAATTTTTTATTTCTGTACATATTTGAATTATATAGGACATAAACAAGTGAAAATAAGTAAAGTGAATATGTCATGTGGCAAGTTTTATTATTAAATGTAATATAGCTTTTATTATTAAACGTAATATAGCGTCGGAAAATTGCGATTGCAAAATTTTTGCGTTAATAAAAAGTATTGAGTAAAATTTGCAGTACAAAACCAATTTTTACGGAAAATAATTAGATTTGTAGTACAAAACCAATTTTTAATAAGGATAACTAGTATTTTAGCATAATATAAATATAGCGCATAGATATATATTAATATTAATAAGGAAGTTAAATAAATTCAAGAATTTCAATTTTTGTAAGAATTTCAGTACCCGACGCTTAATAATATGAAGCCTACTCAAATAGTATTCTGGTCTAAAAAAAACGCAAGTATTATTATGATTATACGTTTTGTTAAAAGTTATTGATTTATATAATTTTTACAAGTCATTAATTTTGTAAATATATAAAAAAAAATAAAAATAGTGGAAAAGTTTTAATATTAGAAATTGATAAAATAGAAGATGTCAAAAATTTAGGACTTGGCCATAACTATGATTTTAGCCCTCCAAAAAATTCAAGGAAAAATAATATGTATATCAACCTAGAATAATGCCACAATCGTATGAACTGCAAACAAGTTATAATTTTTTTCACAAAATAGCGACTGTTTGAAAAAAAAGTTTTTACTACTTTTTTTTTTAATTCTAAAGTTTTTGAAAAATAGTAAAAATCGCAATTTTGGGTTGAGCGTAGTTCACACTGAAGAAAAGTCTGTAAAAATTTTAAGTAAAACCTTTTAAAAGGAAATAGAAGTTGAGAAATCGTGGGCATTGCATCGAAAAAGACAGTTTAGAGAAAAACTGTGGTGAAACAACTATATCTCCAAAAATAATTTGAATTGTAAAAAATCCACTTGTACACATTCTTTAATAGTTAATCTTTAAAAATATGCAAAAATAAACAATTTTATATACAAATTCAATAAACAAATTTATCCAGTATAGAGAAAAATAAGGAAAGATTTAAGATAAGCAAGTAAATATAATTTAGTGTGATAATATAAAAGCACATTCAGTTTTAAATTTCAATAGCATTAATACGGACGTCCAAATTAAATAGTATCGTCCATAAATTGCTATTTACTATTCTATGATGATTAAAACATGCACGGTGAATATATTCAACTAATATGTTTTTAATAAAATACATCAAAGCATGAGTGTAAATATAAAAAAGCACTTTTACACAGAGCAAATTATTGATAAATCAGCAGAACAGAATAAGTAATATAAACTATTATATTATCTCAATTTACCTCATCAGTGATCGAAAATTAAATTAATTTTATTTGATAGCATTAACAACGCGTATTTTATTTTATCCACTTTTAATTGGGAGTTTTGTATCACAGTTATTTTAAGCACACTTTATGATATTATATATTTATTATAATTTTAAGCAATTAGAATTGTTATTTCACAGTTTCACATACACATTTAGTATCATACTCGTCGTATCACATATCAAACAATCGTATGACACATAAAACCGACCGTCGAACGTAAAGCTGAAAACGATTCCAGAATCAAATCAAATCAAAATCAAAATCAAAAATCAAACAGTGGCAAATGTAATAAAACATTGAATTTAATTATTCATCTTTCCATCGATACAAACACGCATAATTGAAAATAAACAAATATCGCAACACATTGTCAAAATAAAAACACAACAAACAAATAATAGTTATATTCCATTCTTATACAAAAAATCAATAGATTTATTTTAAGAGTATTTGGATATTTGGCGATATTAATATAATCTATAAGTTAATAAAAATTATCGAGATTGTTTTCGTTAAAAAATAAGATTATTCTCTTAATAAATTTTCTTTTATAGAGATATATATATTTATTTTTATACATTAGCATATTGTGTATAAATTAAAATTATAATACTATGATATATGATGAATATATACAAAAAGTCTTCAATCGATTTTAAAAAATTAAACTTAAGTCATAACGTCTCTTCAAATTCAGTCGACTGCATAAACACAATTTTAAAAATATGTTTATGAATTGCAGCAATTTTTTTTTTGCAAAAAGACTCCGGGCACAAAAGCTCCCGATGTCTTTTCATTTAAATATTTATAACTATAAATATATATATGTACATTATGATATATACACAATCACTCAACTCCTGATGAAGTTGCATTGCCATTCAAGAACAACGGGAAAACACTGAAGGTATATTGACAACGAGCCAAGACCTACACGCGCACTTCATATTGTATTTTAATATAATTATTTTCTTATTATCACACTTCGTTTCTTTTATTATCAATTGCAACAGATCCCTCGGGTTCCGTACTTTTAACTATTTACAAACACACACGCGACACTACGGGAGACGGTTAGACGTCGGTGCCGCAACCTTCCTGATATCCTTCGTCCGGCGAATTTCTACTGCTTGACAAGGCCCTTTTCAGGGCATTAACTGGTGGAAGGACCGGTACGCCGCCTCTTTGCCAAACTCGGAGCGTTTTCGCATTAGAAGGCACGGTCAACTGCGGTTGGGGCAACGGCAAGCCGTAGTCGGCGGGGTAGACGCCTTGGGCTGGAGGCCTGGGTAACGTCCTGCATCTCGTATAATCGGTGCCTTCTATGGGAACAATTGGCGTAGTGTCGTCGTAGCTCGTAGTTCGTTTAATAGCTGCCGAGTTGTTCTCAGAAGTTTCCGCCCACAGCCCTGAAGGATACAAGCTGTCGCAAGCAGCGCGCGTATACTCGCCGCTGCCCGCCGCTTCGGCTGGATTTGTATCGTTTATCAAATCTGGGTTGTTGGTAGACGTTGTGGGCGAGGTCGCTGTCAACACGCTCCCGTTGGCATCGTAGTGACTGGTACTGTAAGATAATTCAGCAAGACGAGCTTTAGGAGACGAAGCTTTTATGTCGGCTGGTGAAGAAGACGTGCAATTGTCACTGGTTATGGGCGGCTTTCCATTTGCTATGATCACTGAAGATGGCTGGGCGTTATCTTGGACGTTTGGTGTTTTTGTGTCCACATACGGCATTCTTCGTATCCGCACAAGCATCACCAAAATAACGAGTAATACGCACAAAACAAGAACGGCAAGAGCGGCGCTCAATCCAGCGATTTGGCCACCACCTAATGTAGCCATTCCAGCAGCTCGCATAGAAACATGCAGCGTAAAATTAGCTTCGGCTGCTCCTGCTCTATTCTCTGCGACGCAATAGAAGTCGCCAGAATCAGATTCTTGAGCATGAGTTAAAACAAGAGTGCTGCGTTTTTCAAAATGCCCTTCTTCGTAAATATAAATCCTTTGGTGCGAACTGAATGCGGAATTGTTAAGTAACGGCCGCCCATTCCAATACCATCTTACCGAAGCTGCAGGAACAGCGCCAGCTCTACAGGATATAGATGCATTTTCTCCAGCTGAAGCTTCTACGTAACGATTTACTGGAAGCATTTCTGGCCGGCAAGCAAAGTCGTCTACATGCAATTCCGCAAATGTTCTATCAATTACTCTCGTAGGACCACCACGACAAACCGGCGCTATAGGGTACGGGATATTATTCTCAGCCAACCAAGCTTTTGCCTCTCGAAGTCTGCAGTCGCACAACCACGGATTGTCGTGCAATTCGACACCTCGAAGACGAGTCAGAGTCTCTACGGTTCTAGGTCTTAGTTCCGATAGGCGATTTCCATTCAATTTTAAGATTTCCAAAAGCGCTATCCCTTCAAAGGCTCGTGGGGCGATACTCTGCAATTGACAATGGGACAGATCTAATTTGACGAGGCTCGGCGCATGTTTGAATGCCAAGCCTTCAACTTTTTGTATCGGGTTGTGCGCTAGCGTGAGATCTCGCAAGAACGGAACATCTTGGAATGTGGCCGAGGGAACAGCCGTCAGAAGATTGTTCGACAAATCTAATTCCACAAGATTGGTTAAACCTCGGAAAGCTTGTTCATCAATTTGACCCAATCTGCAAGTACGTAGGTATACTTTTTGTAAATTCAGGAGACCGGCGCGAACAAAGGTTTCGCGGGGCAATATTTGCAAATTGTTGTCAGACATGTCGAGTACTTGGGTTTCGGGATCAACTCGTTCAGGAATGGTGATTAGTGCACGATCAACGCATTCCACGGCTCTTTTTCCGTTTTTCCATTTGCAAATACAAGGCGTAGGACAGGATTCGGCAAGTCCGCGGCCTAAGACGTCCGACACCGCGATAGCCGTCAAAATCACCAGCACTCCGAAACCAGGATGACCCATGGCGAGAAAAATAATAGTCACAGTATCAAAGTCGTAATCATAGATATTTTAAGGAAAACTGTGAAGTCGTAGTAAATAGTCACTTTGGAGATATAATAATATAGTAGATATGTTGATTTACACTGATTTATTAATATGATAAATTTTATATTTCACAGTCAAAACACACATATATAGCACACTTTAATTTAATAAAATTAAAATAAATAATAATCACAAAATTATCTATTATTATATTGAAAAACGACCCAAATTTACCATTCAATTTTTATAAAATGAGTCAAAGTATAATTTTATATTATAGTTTCAACTACGCCACAAATTACATCTACATATCCAATAATTCTTTAAATATTAAATCTATTTAATTTTTATTAATATATCCATCGCAGTGTAATCCTTGGAAAAATTCACTTCAACACTAGGAATTAGAGTAGTCACTCACATATTACATTAAGTACGTATCCGCGAATAAGGAATTCGTAATGGTACGATTTTAATTAAAATCGGCGATATAAATTAAATCTGAATGCGTTAAACGACCTCCGTTGAGAGCGGCGGCCTAACATCGACTGAAGCCCTTCTTCAGAACTCCGCGGGAGCACAGCCGAGTGCTTCGAGGCAAAGGAGAGGGAAGCCCGTTCCAACACAACGACGTGATCCTCGCAAAGAGGGATAGACCGATGCCGAACTCCGAGCGCGGAAAAGAGAGCGAACGTCATACTGATTATGGTTGTATGGGAGACCGTTCCTATATATACGCTATCGGTAAGAAAAACAGTGCCGTGCGGGAAAACATGCGCACTGCAAAATATAACCATATCCATCCATCCCCCCTCATTGGTCGAGTTTTATTCAAACCGACATAACATTTTCGCATCACGGTTTTGATATGATGTTACGATATGTATTGTTGATACATAAAATCAAGTGGATCATGCGATAATTACTGCTGCATGTCCTATTTGATATTTGTAATAAAATAAAATAAAAAATCGTATTTAATGCGGATTCCGATGAACGGGGCGTATGAATATATTGAAATAAAGTCGGTGTGGATAATATATGGACATGCAAGGTGGTTTATGAAAGATTTATTTAACTTAAATATGGAATCAAAGAGCGATTAAAAAGTGTGATTAATCACACACCTATAGTAGTTCACTAGCACGATGACTTCCATTGATTAAATAAACAAAATAAATTAATCGTGCGTAGCATCGTGTCTAAAGGCAAATTGCTGGAACTTCTCGTAACGCAATTTTAAAGTTTTAACTGCTTGAATACTTTGAAAAAAAAAAAGATTTTTGAGAATTGTATAAATAATTTGAAAAAAAAATGAAGTTTTAAGATTCTTTTTTTTTTTGAAAATTTAGAATTTTTTCGAAAATTTCGAAACCCATTCAAATTCAACCATACTGTAGAAAATATTGAAGACATTTGTTTGAATTATATAAGTAAACTATAAACATTATAAATCTCAGTACCCACTGAAACGGAAACAAATATTGTACCCATTAATAAAATCTCTATAAAATATCTGATGATTTAACATGCAGTCTAATGATTTTTTTTGACCGTAAAATTTTTTTTGAGTTTTCTTTCTATATCTCCAAAACCGCTAAACATGTCTTTCCAAAATTTTAATAATTTTTTTCTTCTGTCCATACAAGTGAAATAATATTTGAATCATTCAAATCGGATGCTCGATTCTCTCAAAACTGATTTATCTTTTTTCATTTTTTGCCATATCTTCTAGACCTGCCTCTGCTAAGAACTAATCAGCATGTCAATAGCAATCGAATGATTTTTAAATCAGCAAATCGGTTGATTTGACATTGACAATTTGGCAACATTTGACAATGTTGTCAAATCGTCGACAAAAATTTCGAATCCGCACATATATAATATATACTACACACACGTACGTCAAATTTTTCTACTAATAATAAGGTATGTCAATATTTTCTGGAGGTCTTGAATCGTAATATGCAAAAAATTTCATATTCGATATTTTCGCGATTACTAAAATGTGCATACACGTAAATGTCTCTGTTTGTCTGTGTATTTTTTTTATAAAAACTAATATCATAAGAACTTAAGGGTCCTCTAAGCTGTTGTGATGTAGTGGTGATTTGAAATTACCTCATTTTTATGAAATGAATTCTGTTATTACAACTTCTGTAATATTTATGCATTTTAATTGCAAATTTATATATGCAGAAATGCCAGGTAAGAGCTGTTTTTACTTAAAAACATATTTTAACCAGTATTCTAAGTGCAAAACGATGTCATTACTACTTGGCATCAGGCTGTCCAAGGCGAGTATCAAATCTGAGACTTTGAAATACCAGAGCTCTAATCACGTAGCCACGAGGGAACCTATACAAAGATTTAATTGTATTTATATATAATTAAAGCATAAAAAATTTCAGTAACTTGTATTATAACAGTTCATCAAAATGTAATACAAATTATTTTTTTATTTAAACATGTTAAGTATTTAAACATGTTAGTTAGTTATTTAAAATTTTCATAAAGACTTAAAAAAAATAATAAACTGCAATGATTGCTGCGCGCAGGTACCAACACGTAACACACCTTTGCGGACAGGTGATAGGAACATTTATATCATTATAATTATATATATTAGCACAATGTAAATCTTAGCAGTTAAATTTTGTTCTATAGATTAAAATTTAATATTTACTCAGAAATACCTTTAATTAATTTTTATATAACTATATTAAAGAATAGTTTTTAACATAAATTTATATCTATATAATTAATTTAAAAGTTAATATAACTAATTAACAAAAATTAATATAATACTTAGATCACATACACCAAACCCTAAAAATGTAAAGGAATTAATTTTATTATTTAAAATTAACTAGATGGTATTGGAATTTTGCCTTGAGGCAAGTTACATGAAATTCCCCATATGTGTAAATAATCGACATAATCAATAAAAATAAATTAATTTATGAGTGATTAAAAGTATTCCAAACAGATTTATTACACATAATTGAAAACGACCAAACACCGAACACGAACTCGGAGTATTTTCTAAAAACAAATTTTCAAAAATCAATATTTTTTATAATTGATCCAGTTTCCATAGGACTTTAATAGTTTAGTATGTTCATTAAGATCAAGTACTCTATCGTTATACTAAGTAAAATTCGTCTAATTTTAAATTTAACAAACGTCAAAAATACTAAACATTTTCTCAAACTTTGATGGATTTTTAAAATTAAACTACTTGTCGTAAGGACGTAATTTTTCAGTAAATTCTATAAGACCATGATATATATCGCCAAAAAATGTTCCATAAAAATCGGCTTAATTTTTTTCTTCAACAGTTAATTACAAGAAAACGGTTCGATAGATTTTTACCTAAAACTAATCAGTATCATTCCCAACTAATATCTTTCAAACTGTTTTGATTTTTTGAAATCAATTCGGTAGTATGAGATTAAATGTGTACGAAAAGTTTAACACTTTTTTCCAAATTACAAAGAAACGGCTTGGTCGATCGTCGCACAAAACTGAGGAAAGATAATCCACATCGAAATACATTGGCTTTTAAATTTTTGAAATCGGTTCAGGCGTTTTTGAGCAAACGTCGATTTACGGTAAAAAATCTGTTCACACACTCACATATTTTTTCCAAATTTGGTCTCATTCGATTCAGAATGGCTTCAAACGTCGAGAAAACATAAAATTAGAAAATCGAATTTTTTTATGAAAACAAACTTCTTCTTCGGTAAGTTAAAAAACATTCGATTTGTATTAATGGGGCGACGTGCTGATTAGATTTTGGTAAAGGCATGTCCAGCCATTTTGAACATACGAGACAGAAGGTGCCGAAAACGACTTTTCAGTTCTTAAGAGGACGGAGAGTCGAATTTGAATGATTTTAAAAATATTTTATGTGTATTAACGAAATGAAGTAATTATACAGAATTTTTGGAAAGGCACATCCAGCGGTTTCAAAAATTCAATAAAAAAAAGTATAAGAAGAGCCATTTGGTGGTCAAAAATGATCATTAGACATATGCACATCATATTATCAGATATTTTATAGAGATTTTAATAATAAGGACAAATTTTGTTTACATTTCTGTGGGTTTTGTACTAATGTTTATCCTTAAGACTACGACGCGGCGCTTACGCGCTTTGTTGCTCTAAAACAGCTACGAAGCGTGATTGCTTCAAAAAATATTCAATATTTAAAAAAAAAATGATCAAACTATAAAAAAAATCGAAAGGAAACAGTTTTTTTTCAAAAATTCCAAAATCCTCAAAATTTTTATTTTTTCTAAGTTTTCAAAAAATTTTTAGTTTTAAAAAAAAATTATGGTACGGGAAAATTCAGCAATTTGTTTAAGGCATGATGCCATGTTTAAGGCACGACTAGTTTATGAGAACAAGTAAGAAAGTCCATAAGCCAATGTGTCATAATTTTATATCAGGGATCAAACAATAACATGGTAGAACTGGAGTTGTTCTACAATGTTATTGTTTGCAGTAACAGAATTTGTACCTGTGACCGATGCTAAAAATATTTCTTTATCCAAAAACTGTTGTCGTGCCCTGGACCGTCTGCAAGATGCCGTGTCTACCTGAATCGGTGACTCAAGCAATGCACCTCAGCAATCCTGAATGAAACATAAATATTTTTTTGTGTGTACTCGGGCATATACCGGTCCATTCGAGCCGTGGCGAGTTCATTCATTTATTTTAGTCGTTTTATAGGCTCAGAAAACGGCTATTGTGTCAGAGCACGTATATGGCCTGGCGGCGTGCTAATAACAGCCAGTCCTTTATTGAAGCGAGGACCCCGAGTCTAATTGTATTATTGGATAAAAATGTGCATATTTGTGAAATTCACCAGATTATTCCTTCCTTTTGAACTTAGGCGATATACGTGCTAGTTCTGCATTTTTACGTTTACGCGCGACCGACACAAATATTTTGCACGATTTGTTTGCGGG